GATCTTACAGTCTGACTGAATTTCACCCTCCAGTGTATTGTGAGGTTAAAGCTTAGTGTTGATTTAATGGAGTAGTTTGTCCTAGTTCACGTGACATGACAGTTTGATGCTCAGACATTTTCAGAGCTCAGGCAATAGTTCAAATTTCATAGCAGGGGTCAACTGAGGAGAAGCATCTTTTTTCATCATCAGGTGAGACATTTTACTGCTGAAACCAGACCACCTGGGATGCATGGTACACACAAATGCTCTATGTTTTACTAAAGCCTGCCTCACACTACAGACCACAGAAACAAGATAACGTGGGTAGTACCTCTGCTGGATGAGAGTTCAGTCAGGAAAAACAGCAGGAGAAAGGCTCAGAAGTCAAAAACTGCTCTCTGCGCCTCAAACTCCCTCCCTTCCTCTTCCTCATCTCTCTCCTGCTCCTCCTCTTTCATCTCCTCCTCAGTTCCACCAGCCATGGGTATGTTGGACCTGCCTGCACACTGTCAAAACACCTGAGAAATGGAAGGTTTCAGCCATCTACCTAAATCCCTGACACAAAGGACACAGACAGACTTTCTTTAGGCAACAAAGTCACTGCTTTTATGCAGAACTTTCTCTGATTTTTCTTTAATCTTCAACACTTTATCACAACTGAATACCAACATCTAAATGGACCCAGGTTATTTTAAAACACTAGTTTATTTCCTTTGTTCCTGCAAACAGAACAAATGCCAGGTAGACATATGAACAGAGCATTGCAGCTGTTTACACACTCCTCAGTATCAAAGAGGAAAATAGCTTTTGTTCGGTTTTAGTTTGAAATTCTTCTTCCCCAGCAATAGCTGCTAAAATTAGGAGATCAAACTGTCTTCCAGAATAATTCAAGATATAACAAATACAGTAAAGAAAAGCTGAAAAGCAATAACAGATCTTACAAAAGGTCTAGGAGCAAGGAAAGGGCTGACAAGTCTGGTGTGATGACAGTTGATATGAAGGCCTGGATCACTCCAGACAGGCTTTTCTTTATTTCTGGGATCACTTTTTCAAGCAAAAAGTGACTGGCATCAACATCCTAAGAATGGAGAACAGATATAAAAGGTAGCTGATATAAAATAACACATTTGACAATGAAGTCAAAGGAATGCCATCAATTTATATCAGCACCTTGTTTACACCAGTGGCTGTACAGTCTTTTTACATCACAGGTAAAGAATTAGAGTAAAAAATAAGACTGTTATATTAAAGTGACTATATTTATTTTCTTAAATCTGCAACAGTGATTTGTTTTACTAACTACCAAGTTTTCTAAGAATCAAGCATGCCTCTCAACTCCAAAAAAATCCAAAGTTTATTGAACATCTGATAAATTATGATCTAATAAATAAATAACACATTTCGAAGTATCTACTTTCTGTAAAAATAATTTTTTACTTATGGGACAGGTGTAGAAATATTCTTGCTACAAGAATAGAAACTAATGCTACTACACCACTAAAATGGAGAACTTGAAACCACATGATAAGTATAGAATTAATACCTGTTTACTACCTAGAGATTAAAAATAAAAGCAACTGCATTATTTTCCGTATGTCACTTTCACTTGTTTCCCTTAGTGCTTGGAAACATATTATTTTATTCTACATCCATCAAGAACAGAAACATTTTGAAAATGTGTTTTTATTCTTTTGAAACAGTACGAAATAGATTGAAAAAAACACAACAAATACAAATCCATTTCTAGAAAAAATCTAGATGTAATATCCCTTCTGTCTTTATTGCACTAACAATAAATGAATAACCCCGAATACACCACAACTATGAATAAAAGAAATGAAAGAAGCCTTCCTGAGAATGAGGTTTGCAATTTCTGAGTATTTTTCATATGTTTAAGCTACATCTCCAATGCAGCAGCTGCCACAAACACATTTTGCTTTGAGTAATTTCAACTGAATTCCTAAGTAAGCTTCTTTTAAGCTCATATTAAAATGTGAGTTTATGAATACTTTGGTTTCGATTTTTTTTTTGCAGAACTTTAGTGCCTGACTTATTTGAGCAAAGTAAGCAGGACTTCTTTTCCTGAACCCACTAAAGTATAAAATAAATTCCTGTATGTGTTTTGAAGCAAAAACAAACATTGAAACTAATCATCAGAAAACTCTACTGTTTGACACACAAGATTTCCTCTTCCACACTAGCTGTCAAGCAGCTAAAGAAAGAACCCTGTCCTGCATATCTCTCACTCCACATGCACCATAGTTTTAGTGTGGGGCTTGACGCTGATCCTGTTAAAGGCCATTGCGTTTTTTTTCATGTTTTCAGCAGGCAGGGGCTTCAATCTGGGGTCAGTATTTAGACATCAAAAGACAATTTAAAGACTGTAGAGAATTTGTAGTAAGAAAGACATCAAGAACTCAAAAGAAATAAAAATAACTTTTTTCAGATTATTTTTGTTATAATTTATTACTGAACTATGACAAGGTTGAGGGTAGAAAGGTCTTTTACCAAATACCCAAATTTACAGTTTAGTGAAATGTGAACCAGCCCCTCCCCCCCCAAAAAAAAATACAAAAAGAAATGTGAGGCAAAATTAATTAACCAGTAGAATCACTGGAATTTTTCAACTTAGTGTCTCCATGCATGGAAAAATTAGTGCTAGGATACATATATAATGGAGCAATTTCAAATGTCTCCTTTTCTTGTTTCATCACATTAAAACTTGACACTCAGCAAAATTAAATATCAAACATGTTTATATCAACTATATTTTAACACTTATTAGTATCTTGCAAGGATCCCCAATTTGAAAGGAAGGTAGTACATACCTTGATACCTACTAACAAGTAGGAATAAGATGAATCTACATTGAATTATATACCGTAAGAATTCTCACAAGTATTGCTATGAATGCAGAAGCCACTCATTCATGAAGGCAACAGGATGGCTGTTAAGAAAAATCATTTGAAGTATGACTTATGCATATCTTCAAAACTTAAAATGAAACAAAAGGTGATCAGGCCCAGCCTGGTGTGCGGAGTTTATTTATACGTGTGGAGTTTAATATATATGTGTTCAGATTTTATGGCATGTTTTTTATGGCGGCAAACAACACTATCAGGGCAGGACTTAAATTATCCTCGACTTTGAAGGCATACTTATATGTCATTTAACTTAACTGAATTTAAAGGCATACTAACAGTTAAGGTCCTTTAAAGAAAGTTCTGTCTTTAAAGTATATGTGTATGCATGTAAGAACATATCTCCCTAAAGCCAAATTTTAAATTACAATCACTGAAAGCAGAACTATTACCTTACCAGCAAAGGCATCAAAATCCACCATCATTCTGTAGAGACACAATTAAACAATCTCTTTCACAGACGAGCTAAGGCTTCAGATACACTGAACTGCTTCCAAAAAAGCCAAAGGGAAATACATTTTTTGCAAAATGAACAGTATAATCTAGCAGGGATAAAGGTGGGGGTTTTCCATTAAAATAATCTTATAAAACTATTTTTAAAAAGATAAAAAGCAGAAATAATCTCTTCAGGATGCTCTTAGGAGCTGAAGGCATCTCAGCTGAACAGTGTACGCAAATACTTCAATGCTATCATCAACATCATAATCAATATAAAAACTGGGAACATACACCTTCTAATTCCTATGTGTACCTAGACATTTTCTAAATAGACGAAATGAATGACTGATCATAACAAATAGCCTTCTTATGCATTAAAATTTACTGTCAGCTGTGGTGGAAATATGATGATGTTTCTTATTCAAGTATGAAGTTTCCTATTGACTTACATTTCAACATTAGGTATTTCTACTCAACACAAAAGTACAAAGTTGCTTTAATGACAGATGTGATCTGTAATACAACACTAGTTGTATTAGAGATATTTCTGTTGAGCACTTCATTTCAGTCTTTATTCTACAAAAATCATGTTGCATATAATTTATTTTTTTGTTTTGTGAACTTCTACTGAAATCAGATGACATCAATAGAAACAGATACAGATGCTGCAAAAGCGTATCTGTAATTGCACCACTGTTAGATAGAAGTCCTACATACAGCCTGACATTGACAACAAGAAGTTAAATGCCAAACGGAACATACTTTGTGACTTCTAAAATCTTTTTTGCCAGTTACAACATTAAAACATTCCTAAGCTAAAATATTATAAAGAAAGGCAGGTCCTGGATAAAAGATGAATCACATTAACAGTTATTCTTTATGTTTGTATTAAAAATCATAGATTTATCAGTTTCATCAACCCAAAATGAGAAAGGTCAATGATGCTTGTGGGTCCAATAATCTAACCCTTCATTGTTCAACTTGCCTTGATATGTGAAAAGAACTCAAGGTAAAGCTCCCATGAAATTTTTCAGCCTACCTGTTATATCAGTGATTAATGTTTAAATCACTGTTTCATTACTCGTTACATTACAATTACAGTTACTTATTCATTACAAACATTCTTGGTTTGTCTCTGCATCAAAATCAACAATAAAGTAATATTTCTACCATTTCCTGGAGAGCCTTCTATGTCCAGGGAAAAGGGAGCATGGGGCTGAGTGGGCTCTGTCTTTGAAAATGAATGATTTGCACTGTATATAAATTCAGCTATTTACTAAAGAGCAGAGAGAGAAACATCAAATCAACTCCTTCTTGGAAATATACTTGTCACAGTCATTTTCCTAAGAAACTACAGTTTGGAACCATAATCCACTTTTCAAAAAGAAAAAAAAAAGGCACTGATGGGACAGTTCATCCAGCTGAGGGATGACCTGCTCCTGGCAATTCACTGAACTGTACGAGAAAAACCAGCACAAGAGCATAGAAGGGGAGTAAATAAAGACAATTTTTTTTATGACTTGCCTATAGGGTCTGTCAAGGGCAGACAGATGCTGCACTCAGACACCTGCATTTTGTAATTTTGGACTGACCCACGGCAGTGATAAGGAGCAGGTTTTAGATCACGCAAACACATAGGCTCTGCTCACAGCCAGTGTTTCACAGCCGCGTGTCATACTCCAAAGGCTCATCTGCACCGTCAGCTCCTCCAGTGCTCGTCTCCATTTCTATTTCAAAGGCTGGACCGACCCTTTCCAGTGCGTAGTCGCTTCTCAAATCTATGGCAAGAAAATAAATTCAACAATGCAGCCAAGTAAATGTTTGAAAAGCACGTACACCCCAGGCAGTGTCCAACCCAGTGACTAGTAGCATTCTGTTAGCTGTTTCCAGGAAAAAGAAAATCTTCAGCACGGCAAATGAGAGCCAGGGGGATGAGAGCCCGGGGGGGACCCAAAATGGTGTGAGCTGATATGAATAAACCTTCCCTGACTGTATTCATTCAGCTGATTTTCCCCTCTATTATCTCTAGCTGCCCCAGACACAAATAATCAAAACCAGTAACACTGCAGTTTCTGTTTCAGAATCAAACAGCAATTATTACTCCGTACTAGCACTGAAAGGAAGAGGCTTTCCCGTAGAAACAAAAAAGGTGGGTGGAAATTCATCCAGAATACCAATCTATTTTGGCTTTGAGTCTTTTAAATCTGCCCTACATCAAACAGAAGTACATTCTATCAAATCTAACATGAACAACAGGCAATCCAACTAAGCAGAATTAACGGCTGCAGTGCATAGGGCCTCTCCCAGGGCCAGGAAAACTCCAGTGAGTTTTTCCCAAGCTTATGCATTGCCAATTTTTAGGTTGTAACTCTTTCTCATTCTAAAAGTTATTGCTGATGTTATCTCTAGAGATGACCCTGGAAAAATGAGATACCATTTTGCAAAGCAAAGGAAACAATTCAATGAGTAGAAGTTTTTGTGCTACATGCTAACATCAGGTTGACAGGGTCCAACCCTTACACGGCTGCCAGGCAAAAGAGCAAGATAAAAGAGCAATATTCTCATATCCACCTTTGCACAGAGGGAGTGTGCCTGCTATAATCTTTCAGCTCCATAGAATTTCAGTTCTTGTCTTTATAGCATGCCTAACCATTTACTTCCTTGCACTTAAAAGGTTACAGATAGATTAGTCTTTACTTTGCATACCAGGAAGTTTCAGCCTCCTGCAGCAAGAGTTACAACGATGCTTTGTGATGAAGTTTCTTATTGCACCTTCTCCTAGGTTTGCTGGTCCAAATACCATCTTTCCAGATCTAAAAGAAATATTATTAAAAAATCAATCTCAAAATAAAGCAACTGTATGGGAGGGAGATGATGCTGTTTTCTTTTTTTCAAATCAGAGATAAGTTAGCCCTTTGTATAAAGACAATCAAAGCTTAGCATACCTCACAAGTTTCTGAGATCTGGAACAAGAAAACTGACAATTCTGGTGTTAACCTGCATTTACCCCACATTACTTTTCCTTCCTGCTGCATCACAGAGATGCGCTAAAGGGAGACAGGACAGACCCAGCAATTCCTGCTAAAACGATGGAAATTTGGGCACAGTGACATTCAGACAACATATGCCAGAATCTGAGTGACTGTTGCAGCCACCATTCATTCTCCTCAAGCAAATGGTTTGTTTCCAGTTTTGATGGTAAGCACCTAGGAACAAACCAGAGCTAGCAAGTACTTACTTCTACTTTATTTAAGAACAGAAAGCCAAAAGCAAGCAGAGCCCTAGTCACATCAATATGCAGCACAGAAAAAAAAACCACAGTACGCTGCTGACAAGTAAGGCTTTAAAATGTATTGGCTTCTTCCTATGCTCATTTCCATGTGTCTGCACTCTGGCCAATTCAGCAACATTACTGGGGGATCCATTTGTGGAAGTGTATTGCACGTTCTGAATGAAGCTGACACAATTACCAACAGAAGCAAGCTATAGCCATGCATGTATTAGAAGTACCACATAATTATAACAGATTCTTAATGTACTCTCAAAGATCAGTGTTCATTAATTTTAATATTGCTCCACAATTATTCTCAAGAATTTAATTGACATTCTAGACACCACGGAACACAGCACACGAGAAACACTTCCAAAGAAACTTTATGAATGCTAGTATTTTATTTTAATGATATGCAGAGTGGAAACAACACATTTTAAAATCTGAAATCAATTACAGCTCTGAGAAGCTACAGAAAAAGATTTTAACTCTCTCAAATCTATCCGTAATCCACACTCCAAAGAAAGCAGTTTTCAAATACGACATTCTCCCCTTTCACACAGGAGAAAAGCAATGATTAGCCAAAACTCCTACAGAAAGCTTAGTAACTCTAATTTCTAGCAGACACGAAACACTGTCTGTCTCCTGGAACATCTGAAGGACCCATCTAATCAGTCTTTACTGCAAATTAGTACATCAAACAAGGCAAGAAGCTAAATATTATTTAATTGCCATATATACACTTTATATGACATGATGCTATGTAGCCATTTCTATCCTTTGGTATAATCCAGTAAAATGCCAGTACGAATAAAACATACTTGAGTATTTGCTTGTACGTCCAAGACCTGTAAAGCCACGAATGACCTGGTGCAGAAGAACAGCTGAACTCTTTGGGTCCATTCCAACCCTACAAATGTTTTATAAACAGGTCACTCTCCTGGTTATTCAAGGTCTGATTTTGTCACCAAGGATGAAAAATACCAAGCCCAGCTTTCCGTTTCCCAAGCAGGTGCATTAATGTGAGATAATGGGCTTAAAAAATCCAAACATGCTCCTCCTTTTGTGCAGAACCTCACCTAATAAATGCTCCATAAATGCCTATCAGATTGTACCAGTCCGGTCCCAGCTGGAATGCAGGTAACAGACTGTGCTGATGCAAACAGTGCTCCTTAATAGTCCAGAGCAACAAATGCTCAAGGCAGACAATAAGACATTTACAGGGCTTTACTGATGGAACATAAAGGACTGGGGGGGGGGCTTTATGACAAGTAGAACCTTTCCAGGGAGGTGCCCAAGTAATTTATTCTGTATGTTTTTGTACATTTAGCTTCCAGTCCACCTATTTCAGATTTGTGCAGGTCTCTACAGCAGAGGTTCAGTTCATGCAGATGTTTTGTCTACTGGCAGCAATTCAACTGTAAATTGTTTGGCTGGAAGTGCACAGCTTTGTAAAATTCAATAGATTTGTTCTTCAAAACACATGCTTATGAGTAGCTTCAGAGAACACGGTCTCCACTCATTACTAAAACCTGCAGTCCATCGCTACGTGCTTGAGAGCTCTCAAAAGGGAGAGTAAGAGACGTAGTACCTCTGACTCCTCCTTTTCACATGTTTGTAAGGACATTTTTGACTGCAAGCACCCTTTTCTCACCTCTCTCAGCAGGCCTAATCCATTAGCTCTTTCCAATTTGAAGCTCAGCCTGCTACTTTTCTCATCTCTGAATCTGCTCTACAGACACTCTGTACGTATAGTCTATGAAAGCTTTACCTGTGTGGACTTTGTTGTGGATATGGCAAGCAGTACACACTAAAAAGAGCATCCAGAGTATTGCTTATGAAGCAATTCTTCCCAATGTTTGGGCAGGACTAGTTCGCAGTCACTGCACTGCGTCATAACTTTGCTGCCGTGCCTCAATTACTTCTGCATTTAAAGAAAATCTTCTCATGAACATTATACCCTCATCATTTTATCACTTCATATATCCTATGCAGTACACACAGCCAGATCTTCAATTGATGTTAAATATCTATGAACTTGCACCGATTTACTTCAGCTCAGGATCTGTCTGAGATGTCACAGTATCAGACATACTTTCCAAACAGATCTGTTATTTTTGTCTTAGTACTGAACATAAACCCAGGACACAATGTAGTACCACAGAGGTAGAGGTCACATTTTGCCATTACAAAGTCCATTTCAAGACAGCAGGCAGAATGCATGAAAGAAAATACTCACTACAAGATAATGACATGAGCCACTAAATCAATGGAATTAAAGAAGCAAAACATAAATAATTTAACTATAAGTAGTGTTAAAATTTGAATCAGCCTCATCAGTCAGATGCCATCTATTTTCTCCCAGGCTTCTAAGAGAACATGAGCTCAAAGCAACTTTCGAGGCAGCGCACAGGTTTTGATTAAGTATCTTGCCTACAAATGAAAACTTAAAACAAATCTTGCTACTGCCAGAAATGTTTCTCTTGCAAGCAACTGAAGGTTAGAGCAAAGACAGTGCTTTTACATTGTTATTGTTATTACTATTTTAGAAATTTTCTTCTTACAATTGGGTATCTGCTAGCGGCTTACAGAATCAATCCAGCATTTCACTGCCTTATTCCTTTAGATCCCCAAATCAAAACAATATAGTATCACAACTTGCTGTTCTGAAGATTTCCCTGAACATAAGAAAATCAAGCTGGTTTTGATTAATTAATCAACACTTGCTCTTTAACTAGGACTTGACTGTTTTGTAGATGATAAAAAACAAAACAACAAAAGTTCTGAAAATAAGATCCGTGTGATCAAATTTTATTAAGCATGACAAAATTACTTAATAATAAAAATAATCCAGAAGGACACTAACAAATGTATGGTTCAAGATAATGTAGATATATAGGATTCCTATTTTAAAGAGGATAAGCTGAGTTGCCATGTGAAGTACTATAGTCAATGGCTGGCCACAGTCTTCAGTGATGAACATTACAGTCTATGCTACCATTGATACAAAAAATCCACTTGAACAGTAGCAAAGCAGACTTTTATACATCTGTAGCAATACCTTAAAAATGTTTGCTAAAATCTAGTGAACAACTATATGATTGATTTCTCCACCTCTCTATCCTAAGCTATCATTGTGCTCCTGTCACAGCCCTATGACCTACTTAGGGCAAAGACTTTGTCACTGTGAGATGCACAGAATATTTTTGATGTTGCTTCCCAAAATAAATATTATATGGCCAATACACCTACATTCATAATTAAACTTTCATACAACATTAATACAGTCATTTATTACTAATCTTATTAATGAAATATTAATAACAGTCCCAGAACTAAGAGCCTGCTTCCAAAATTAACTTGTTCAGCAAGTCATCTGATATTTCTGTATCAGTTAATTGTCCTTCGTTTTGAATGAGACTATTCATACTTATATTTTCCTTCCTTCCAAACATGAGACATCCCTTCAATCAGATGACATGAGCTGAGCAAGAGGGAGCAAAGTTCAGCACAAGACAGGGACGGGCAGGGCACAGCTGGAGAGATGTGTGGGTTTAGGAAGACTCCCCAGAGAAGAGGACCCTGCAGGACAACACCATCAACCCCACTGCTTCTCCTCTCACTACAGCAAATACCAGCAAGGAGCAAGGTCACAGGATGGGAGAAAAGCCATGGTTCTGAAATCTGACGCATGAAGGCAGACTGCTACTTCTGTGTAGTCTCTCTCATTTTTGTAACTTTCCACACACAATTTACTATCTCCATATCACAGCTCTGAGATTGTAACGTGCAGCATGCTTAAATGCACCATTAGGGCTTATCAGAAAGATCAGAGACTTGGAGCCCTCTCTGCACCCTCCTAAGCCATCGTGGCCCCATATACTCCATGAAACAGCGCCCCACCAGGCAGGGGAAACCGGTCTGCCGCATTTAAGTTACTGACGACCTTCTTTGGTACAAATTTGTGAAGATACTTACAGGGTCTCTCCGTCTCTCAATCCCGCTCTCCCTTGCATAGCCCTGGAAAACTCTTGTGCTCCCAACACAGCAACACAGACTCTCCCCACCTTTTGTATGTCACTCACCACATATTGGGAGCTGGGACACTTACAGCCCTGAAAGTCCAGTCCTCCAAAGCACAGTGAAGGATGTAGTCTCTCCATTGCCATCATACCTCCATTTAAGCCAAACACCATGATAAAAATAATTAAATATTTCACACAGAACATAAAAAACACCCTAAATATACAGGCTGCTGGAAGAACGTCTGAAGTGAATGATAATTTCATCAGAAAGAAACTTACTTTTTGTCTTCAGGTTTTATCACAGATGGATCTGTAAGGTTTTCCCCAACACCTACAATAAAATCAACAGTGTGTGTTATAAAGGAAGGTAGTCACAATTTCATAATCTGGCACTTATAAATATAATTATCCATTTTCTTTATAGATCATAAAGTGTCATAGTTAAAATGGTCATGAGTTGAAAAGAAAATGCTATGAGTATAAAAATGTGTTAAGTATTGGCAAACGTGTAGAGTTCTTATTACAGTCCTGACTTCAGCTGCTTTGAGGTTTATTTATACATAGACAAAAGGGTTATGCAAATGCACTAAATATTATGCTGAAGCTCAACTAACTAAGCAAAACGTGCCCAACCATAGGACTGCTATTTAAGTTGGAGTAAAGGTATTAATTGGATGTGGATCTTACTGATACCGATAGATCTACTCTCAGATACATATTCTCTTCAAGGTAAGAAACACAAGCCACAGCTTCCTGATCTGCAAATGCTCGGGTCTGTTATCCCTTTTTTCTTCTGAGTGGCCATGGAAGAGTATTAAATACACTATTTCATTTTGATACCTGAATGCTGATACCTCTCTGTTGCAATTTGGGGGAAACTGATGACATACCACCATTTTACCAAAAAGCTCTTTTCTTACATCTGAGGAAATTGTTGTGCTTTTACACTAATGAAAAAAGTCTATGATCATACAATATGCAATTATTTTTATTTCAATAGGCCACTGATGGTAAGTTTATATTCTACAACAAAAACCAGTAAAGATTACAGAAATAGTATATTGTGAGTGAAATATCCCCAAACTGCAATACTTGTCAACAAAGGTCATTTCAGTTGATGTAAATAAGACAAAAGGTGGTGTATAAGTATGTGGAGATGGCACTGGTATTATATAGTAAGTTGTGATATAGATTAATCCTATCACAACTCCAAGGGGAGCAGCCCTTGCACTTTTCCTAAACTCCAGATTAGAGAACTACTAGATAAACATGACACCAAAACTAGAGCAGATTTCAGTTTGTTTGAGATGGAAACTGAAGTTCCAGTCCTGATGGGATTTACATAGATGTTTAAATTCTCCATGTTTGAGCCAACACAGTTGGTCTGGAACTGTTGAGAGTTGTATAATAAACCCAAGCAAACTTCAGACAAATTCTAGCAGGCTATGGTGAAGACACACTTACTTTTTCTGTATTTTTTTTCATGTGCAGCTAAAACTAAATGAAGGCAAGGATGGAATTATAGCTTTATTTTGCATAATAAGCATGTCTTTCTGTAATTCACAGCTTCTGGATGCTGTAAAATGTAAATATGTTAAGACTCTGTCTACCCATACATATTTCCCTTGACAGAAATGACAAACAATAGTGTTTATACTGTTTGATGGGTGATGTTCATCTTCTGAACATTGTCAACTGTTTTATCTCTTTAAAATATGCCATGTTCCCACTTACACATGTACAGTAAAGTGATCACATGCTCTTTGAAGGAGTCACCAGACTTCATGAATAGCATTCAGGTTTGCAGCTTATGTAAACTGCTTATAGATGTATTAATATGAAAAATAAAAAAAAATACAGATAGCAGTTAGCACTCTTCTGACAGAGATACACATTAAGTGAGCATATATGTGTACGGGTATGCTTGAATCTCTACATTATTTATAAATCTTAATAAAAACAAAAATACCTTAACTATGGAGAGGTTTTTTGGAGCTGGCTGAAATGTTCCTGCACACTTTATCTGTCTGTTCTTCTGTCCATTCAGCCTAGATGTATTTGAAGCCAAATTATTTTCCCATTATGCCTAATTAAGCTAGGGGGTTTCTATGGATACTCATTTACCAGTGCCACACAACAGATATCCAGGGGTTTTGTGAGTTTTGCCAGTAAGTAAATGAGAGCAGAATTTGACCCATTCCTCAGTATTCAATTCTCTTTTGAGAGAATTGCTTTTCATTGGGTTTCAAATACTGATACCATGCTAGCAGTAACCTTGCAAATCCAAAACAAGGAGCTCCCCACGGGTGTACACGTAGGTCCAGTGAGAAAAGGCCAGCATCAGTTCTTCCAGTAAGCTGCTGGGAGTAATCTCATCTCCATTGTTGTTGTTGTATTTCCGAAACTCTCCAGTCATGTACTTCTCAATGGTCAGCCACTGGTTTGCTGAATGGCAGTAGATGAGAAGAACTTCCAGGAACCTGCAGACATAAATGCTGTCTATCAGGAGCTGGCAGGGTAATGAACATTCTCACAGACAGCATACAGCATGATGCAAAACAAATATATCAAAAAGGAGGACGTGTCTTCCCTACCTGGAGCATTCTGACCAGCAGGAGGTACCAAATGGTAGACAACACAAAGGCTTTCTTGGTTTAAAAACTCTCAAAACAAAGCACTTGATCAGAAAGTATAGTTTATGGACAAACAACATAATCTGATTTACTCCAGCTCACTGTAAACGAGCAATATCAAATCATCTTATGTTAACTGTATGAAAGGCAATTCTTGCTTAAGTCAAAAGAACAGCGTTATGAAGAAGCTTATTTAGCCACATGTAGCTATAAAGACAAAGTTCAAAACTGCCTACCTTTCCTTCTTAAAAAGCTGATTAACTACCATTAGACTGTCTAAGCAGCAACTATTTCAACCCACTATGGAAAAGGAGGACTGGACCTGGGACACAGCTGAAAAGAGAAACTTTCAGCACCTAGTACTTAAAGACAGTGATTTTACCTTGGAGTATAGGGAATAGTATGAGGCTTCACTTGATTGAAGGTATAGATTAACTTCTGGGCAGCCCTTTGTTGTTGGATCTCCTGAAGAAAATAATGTTATAAACATCACTTTCATTTTCATCAAGGAAGGTGCCATGAATTTGTCAAAACAAGCAAGCAAATAAACACCTGATTGTACACTGTTTACAAATGGGAGATATTTCTTCCTCAAAACCTTCTCCCTTTCTAAAAGATATCATCAAACCACATGTCAACCATGCTCAAGACATTCACATAAACAGTATAACATTTAAGGCGCATCAGGCTAGACCAGTCAGTATGCCTTCAGGTCTGAACTCACCCTCAGGCAGAGATGTAACACTGTGCCATCGTGAAAGATCTTTTGCCAAGTCTGAACCACCTCTGGCAGAAAAGACTTCACAATAAATACTTGACCCAACTGTAATACATCATTCTCAGACCAAGTACAAATGACCTTCATGGCCCTCCGCAGACCCCCATCCATCTCCTCCCGTGATAAGACTTGGATCATTGCAGCCATGCCACGCTGGGACCAGGAAGACATGCTTTTATCAAGGTTCATAGGTGAACTTTCTTCAAGCCGATAGACCGTCACTTCCTCTCCAGCTTAAATAAAAGTAAATTTTGTTAGCAGAGGTCACACACTGCAGAAACAGGAGAGAACTGCATTTTGATTTGGTGCCTAAAAATAACGTACCACTTCACACATCTTTGTAACAAGCCACACTTTAAAAGAGAGCTTTTTTATCATTACTGTTCATCTGTGTGAAAACTTACCCAGCCTAAACTTAAGACTACTTACTACATATATTCTGCTTAAGATCTACTCTGATAACATAAGCTTGTATTAAGCTCTAAACAGAGATAAATTTAAGACCTCCCTCCTGGACACTTCCTCACAAACTAAGCTCAATGATATTCTGGTCTATATAAACCAATCTCATTTGCCACAGTTTTTTTAAGTACTTAAAAGACGGCTGAGCTTTAAAAGTATGTATTTTTAAAGGGTTACCATTTTCTCTCCAGTGTATGAACTTTACATATCCTGAGTGTGGCGCCCGCTGTTTATACACTTATGTGGAAGGGAAAATTTTAGTAAGACTTGCTTTAAGTTAATGAAGATCCATGGAACACTCACAGTATTTTCCCTGTAACTGTGCTTAACCCAAAAAAAAAAAAAAAAAAAAAAACCAACAAATAAAAAAAGGAAACAAACACACACAGCTTGTAATCGTTATTAACTACAAAATTAAAGGGCTGGGAAGGGTCACCTTTTGACCCAAACAGATAGATGAGTTGTTTCAAAAGTTGTGACTTAGACACAATGAGCCAGGGAAATTAGATTGAAAAGGGCATGGCTTTCCTTGGAGAAAGGAATCCTATGAAGGTAAAGCAAATTAACAGGAGGTTTACAGTTTTGGTGTTTTAAACTAAGATTTGTCTTTCTCCTAGAAATTCCTGTGTTATTTGTACTGCGCAAAATTTCAGATGTTCTGCTCCTGCTAATAACATTTTTCTGATAGCAGAACAAACCTGGTGAGCTTTAACTTCGTCACACACTGCTTCCCTATATAGTTTTAACAGCATTCCTCTCTGGCTGCATAAGCAAGTCACCCTTCTGTTTGCCATCATTTGTAAACTAACAGAAAAGTGGACTGATTTTTCAGAAACCTGGCTTTCCTTCTTGCAACTTATATTATTTGCGAAGTTAATTTGTAAGAAACAGGTTTTCACTGGTAAATGTGATGAGGTAACTACATCTGCAAAATCACAAAGAACGGCACAAAGAAGGATAAACTGGATACAGACTAATAGATTTCCTCCCCACTCCCTAGCCTACATTCACCAGTTAGCACAAATGTAGATGCTGTCAAATGCCACAATTTGCACACATTTTAATTCAAAATCAAGCAACAGAAAAGCCAGTGTCTTTCATAAGACAGACACTTGAATAAGATACTATAAGTAGACACATTTTTTTAATCTTACATTAATTCCTCATTTTATTATCTTTTGACAATTTAATACCTAGAAAGGTGTCTCCTGGGAGCTTCAAAGATTAGAATGTTCAATATGCTTATAGCTATATTAATTATCTGCAGCAATCTGGTCCCAAGAAATCCTACGAAGCTCCACGTATCAGCAATTAGTTGCTGTGAGACAAAATATTCTACCCATTGAAAAGAAGGCATCTAGATCTCAAGTGTCTAGAGGCAGAGCTTCTGCTGCTGTAAGCCAATACTGCACGCTAATTTCAGAACTCTTCCAAATTATTTATGTATTATTCTCTGCCACTCTTCAGCTACAGCACGGTTCTTTTCGCCTTGGTACACTACATCTTCCATACCAGGTACAGGAGTAGTGCCCTTTCAACCAATACCTGGTTTTCTTCTTGATGGGATATCCTATACCTATATCTACATGCATATGTGTGTGAGAGAGAGAAAAAGAAACAGAGAGAATGCAGATATTAAGGCTAAGTGGAATCTTTTTGCTGTCTTCAGCTGTCCTAATGATAGGTATAGAGGAACTGGAGTTAGACTCACCTCTGAGGTTGACAGTAATCACATGTATGGTGATAGATACAAGCTACAGCAAGGGAAACTCCAACAAATACTGGGAAAAACACTAGGTTCACAATTAAGTCAGTCAAACACTGAAAGAGGTTGCCCAGAGAAGCTGAGAAACCTCCATTTATAGCCATACTCAAAATGCAATTGGACAGGCCCTCAGCAACCTGAACTGAATTGGCCGCAGATGACCTCCAAAAGTCCCTAAATTACTGCACGACTACAATTCTTTCCCCGTTTATCTCTTTTAGAAAAGAAGAATTGCTGAAATTAATCCAAGGAAATTTCTCAGACACAGTCTTTAAAAAGATAATGCACCAACTCTCTATAAAGCAAAAAGCATGACCAGGAATTTGATACTCACCAAAGAGCTGGACTGGTGTAAATGGTATGGTCTGAGCAAGTCTCATTAAGTTGTTTCTTTCAACAGCTGCAAACAACATAGATTTCACTACTATACCGAATAAACAACAAGCTGGCTGAGTTTCAAAAACATCTGGCAGCATTTTACTGTAGTGTGCAAAGCCAAGGAGGCTGCAGTATGACTCCATGTCAGATCTCATCACTATTCTACCCAGCCAGCAACTCCCCTTTGAAGGCCTATGGTATCTCACAAGCATCGGCTGCCACTCTTTTCCCCGTTGATTGATTCCCTCCTTCCAAGGAAACTGGCTCTCTGAGACAAGCCCCTTGCACCCTTGCTAGAAAGACTGCTTCTGCTAACTCTTCATCCTCCTCCTTCCACCAAGTGCTGCCGCTGCTTCCTCCTCCTGCCAGCTCCAGTGCAGTAACATTCACACTGTGCCAATGAGAGGCATTGGCCCCAGTTGCCCTCACCGCCTGTCTCGTCAGACTCAGAAGCACCTGGGGTTTTAGTTAAGCACAACAGGAAAATCCAAGTTTGACCCGCACAGAGCACTGTTTCTTCATCTGGGCTCCTCGCCAAACATCAGTAGCATTATTATATTTCCCTAATTGGTGGCTTACTTCTCAGGCAAACACCTTCAAAACTTGAGAGTGCCAACTACATATTTATGGATTTGTCCTCACAATGAGTCAGTTATCAGGAAGGGAGAGAGACGTATGAAGTAAGCCACAAAGAGGGTAAGACTAGAACAATGAGACAACTCAGATGCTACAGTGCTGACTGCCTCATTTCCCTATTCAATGGCTGAAGACACAACTAGTATCCAAAGCAGAGAGTGAACGACAACAGAGCTGTGTTTCTCTGCAGGGCAACCAAAAAGCCCTGATGGCAGACTCTTCCAGAGCTTGGACACAGTCCGTCCTTCTTTTCTAAGATTACTTCTCTGAGCAGAATTTAGTTACAAATTATTTAGCCCAGAAGGACAGAGCAAAGGGGAGCCATGACACATCAACCCATGAATTAGAGTACCCATTTGAGAAGATCTGCATTTCAGACTCCACTTCAAGGCTTGTTTACATCTTCAGAATTCAACAGACACTGGTTAACATGCCTGAATACTTATGGAGCACGGACTGAAAAACAAGGTCCCCCCTTGATGCCTCACTAGGAACATGCCATAGTCAGGAAACTAGTGCATAGCAGGGATAAGGACATGAACAGGGGAGCTGACAGACCTGTACTGTCTGTCAGACCCTACCAGCACTTACTCTAGAGCCTCAAGAAGCAATGTGAAGTGGACTTGCACCACTTGTGCTGAACTTGTGTCAAAACTCAAGTTCTTTTATGTGTACAGACAGGCAGAACCATTTTTGCCTGCACAATGTGATAGCAAAATAATGCATAAGCAGTATATGGTGCAGGATTTTAGTATCAAACTTTCAGGCTTATTTGGCTAAATTCTATCCTGATCTTCCTGGGGAAAGAAAACCTATACTGGAAACCTCTTGAGATGTTTGTCAACTCATAATGGAAACCATTCATCTAAAAAGTCCCACCTAATCTCAAATAGCATGCCTGGAGAGATCCAAATTGAACACTGCAACAATGCCACGATGTCAGAGAAATTACTCCTCTACACTGACTACAAACCAGGAGGCGTTATTCCCAGTGCAAATCGCATAGTTTTCTGAACTTCAGGAGCCTGGTAATGCTTCTGGTTTACTATAGGCTTCCCTTTAAAGGAGGCCAAGTCCTGTGGGCAATAGAGACATCTACTGGCAAGCTCTGCTCAGTTCTCCTCCGGGAAAAACTGAAATCCAAGCTTTGTGGGAAAACCTCTGCATATTCAGCTCAGGAAAAGACAGGACTGCAGGCAATTAGCATTCAAATGATTTATTCCCTGCCAGGTTTCCAGGAGTTCATAGGTATATAAACACAGATTAAGTAGTACAGGACCAATTAACTGAAGAAACCAGTTCCAGAAAGTACAAAGGTGGATGGGGGAAGTGTGAGGGGAAGTGACAGCTATAAACAAATTACTGTCTCTTCTGCCCCGCCAGGAATCGGAGCTCTATTCATTGTTTCCACTGATATTTTAAAAGTGATTATCTACATTCTGCCCTGGATTTGCCAGAAATACCCAGAATGGAGCAATTAGCAGCAAGAAAATAATTCATCATTTCCTCACTGGAGTGTTAGGCATGCCCTTCTTAGCAGTGGGCAATTGTGCAACTCTTCAAAATTAAAATCACAGAGGATGATAAGGGAAGAACTAATGTTCTTTTTAATTTGTTAAATTACTTAGCTATCATTCTGGTGCCTCCTGCTTACCTGAGTAGTGATGATGCAGATCTTGAGAAGTTTTCAAGCAGGCAAGTATATCTGAAATATTGTTTAAAGGATCATTATGCTAATTATTATAGCAGAGATAAATGTAAGATTTTTTAATTCCTTCCATTCCAGAGTTTGTCATGAAACAAATTAACCAGAATTACTGTCTCAGCATTCTAAAGAGGAGAATTACTAACAGGCTTTAACTACGTTACGATGTACACTATATTGGCAGATTTCAGTCATCAATGTAATATAGCCAGATGACTTGTGTATTCAGGGAAATGCTGGGAAACTTGTGATATCAACCTCAAGGACAAGTAGCTTCTCTAAGCCAATCACATCTCTGGGATATTAAAAGCACTTTGCTGCCCATCATGCTTCACAGTCTCCCCAAGGCACGATTTTTCCAACTCCATCCTCAGTCATTAAACATTCCATTAACTATACTATTAGACCAAAGTTATAATAACGCTGTCCCATTAACTCACAGCATCTAAAATGCTGTTAAAATATAAACAGGCAAACATATTTAACGGGCACAGCCAGATCAAATTTGATCCAAAAATGTTGGTTTTATAAAAAGTCTTTTTAATAAAACCAAGATTAATGAGCATGTTTCCATTAATTAGATGAAATCACTTTGTTCTATTGGAAAACAATTCTTCAAAATGCCAGATTTCACAAAACACATGTACTGTACTACTTTTAATTCTGAAAAATGAGACAATAAAAATTGAATCTTAATCAAAATATTTTAACATTACACTTTTCTTCTTGGTGTATTTGCTCATATTTTCTTCTCTTGCAAAAGAGATCTTAAATAAAAAACATAAACAGATATTGAGGGAAAGCCCAGCATTTCCACTGAGTGCCCATGGTGATTCAAGGTCTCTTTTGTCCTCTTTCTTGCTGGACCCAACTAGTTTTGTCGCATTTCATATGTTGTAAAACAACAAACATGAAAAGGGGAATGGGGGCTAGGTCATTTCTTTTGAGGATGGGAAAACTGGATTTTAATCAAAGCAATGATGTGCTCTATAGTGTAGCCCCACAACTCACTACGTTTGCAGCAGTGTGCTTCAGCACTGCAGTGTTTTGTGCACAGCCAGACCCAGAAAGAACAGCGCTTGAAGGAGAGCAATTCTTTTCTGCTCAGCTGCTCAGCCCCTTACAGCAAAGTGGAATGTCAGGAAAACTGTAAGATAGACTAAAAGGCAACAAATACAAGTGAAGTTAACTAGCACTCTACTTTTGTGGAACAAAGTCACTCCTCGCTATGACCTTTAATTGCTTCATTTGCCATTTCATAATAAATTCAGTCCTTCATTGATTTCATAACTTCAGGGAAACCACACAGAGGAATTACACCAAACTGCAACTTGAAAAACCAAGCATACATTAAAAATTTTATATCACAATCTGTCCCCAGATATACACCCTACTTTAACTCAGGAGGTCTCTTAGACTGCCAGGGATGAAAGCAGCACTATCATCTTAAAGAGTTTCTTCTTGCTGAAAAGGACAACATTACTGGGCAGACCAGAGTAAAAATAGAATTTTTTTCTTTTAAGATTTTGCAGTTATCGTGAGGAAAACATGTCCTCATAAAAATTTTTTTCACTTTAAGGTACAAATTAGTAACATATGAAACAATAGCTGAACATTTTCTTATAACCCTCCAACTATAGTAAATTAACTTCCTTTCAGATTTTGTACTTCAGAATCGTCAGAGTGAGATTTGCAGAGAGGAATTTAAATGAGTGACAAGCAACCAAAAACTTACTATCACTTTCCTCTGAAGTTCTCGACCTGTTTAAAAGCAAACATTTGATACTTTACTCCAAAATTTCTGTCATTAAGCTAACACTGCTACATATCATGAGATGTGATCTATGTAAAGGCAAAACTCACAAAGGTTTGATTAGCAATCACAAAACAAAATAATCCTCAGTGCAACTTTGTTCATTTCAACAACCAACAAATAATCTTCGGTTACTGAAAGACAGCCACATTTTTCTTCATGTGTCTTTCTCTGCTTTATGTTGAGCTGCTCTTATGATTCTACACCACTGTTCATATCGTTTATACTGCACTAACAGTATCAGTTAAAGACCACTTCAATCACATGCACACTTGTTCATTTTTCAATCAGTGCCAAGATGTATTCAGAGCTACATATGCCATCACCATTGCCTGCACAAAACCAGACTTTTTAAACTGGAGGTCCTTTGGATTAGCAAAGCTGCAGGAAGGAAGACTACACCATCAGCATTAACATTAAAGCAGTCTTTGTTAAAGAAGACAGCAGATATGATTCACCTCACAGACCAGAGAGATTCCACTGAAGACAACAGAATAAGTGACAGAATCAGGCCACTCAACAGCCTGTAAGTCCTGCTGGTAAGTATGCAGTTTGCCTTCTGCCTATAAATGACTTGGGGAAAGGATCCCAAACATACAAAAAAAAAAAAAAAAAAAAAAAAAAACAAAACACCACACAAAAACAAAAAACAACCAACCACAGGATCGGTAAAAAACACAGTATGTTTTTTCCTTTTCCCATGGTGAAATCACATGGGATATGACAGATTTCTAGTGTCTTTTATTTATTACATCCACAGCTTTACTAAGTAAGACAGATACAAAAGAAATTGATGAAAATAAGAAAGAAAAGGAAAAGGAACACAGAGACAGCACTGAACACGGAAAAAAATACCCCCAATATTAAGATAATGATCACTTAAGCTGGGAAAAACAAATCAAAAAACCCACAATAAAACCAAAATCGGTATACTTTCACCAAATATAATCAGAGTTTAATAACTATTTAAAATTACTGAAAACTTAATAACTATTAAGAAAACCAAGGTAAATATTTTGTAAATGTGCAGACTCAGTACGAAAGAGATTAATCAGAGAATGAGAAACTTTCAGGAGGTGCTAGCATTTTAATTATTAAAAAAGGAAACATGCAATTTGCAGAGCAAAATCAAATGCAACTTTTCACGCTCACTAGATTGGAACAATGGCTAGTTAAAAATTCTGTGTGATTGAACTAGAAAATTGGATTAGTGTTAGAATAAAAAGGGGTGTCTATTCCACCTAAAATTATACACTGTTTAAATGGATCTCCTTTATCTCCATTAATAAGGCTTCATTTAAAGAAACTTAAACAGATCAAATTGCCTTAACTCCTCATTTCACATAAATTTCTCCTCCTAAGTATACAGCAGAACTGAAGCGGAAATGGGCAGAAAGTACAGAAGTCTCTTTCCAAAAGCGCATGATAAATATCTTAAAATACAAATAATACATACGAGGAGTTCCTATTCAGACTACTCTTCTTGGTGGTTCCAAATATGCTATTACTCAAACCCTGTGAAAAAAGAGAGACACTTTTACTGGTAAAATCTGCCCATCACTATCACTACACAACTCAAAAAGGGACAATCAGGAAAACACTTATTGATATGCTTATTGTGAGTATGATTAATGACACTGACAGGCAGATGAATCACAGCATTGCCATACCTACACTAAAATGGACCAAATTCACTCACATTACAGTTTTCCACGCTGTCTCCACACATTTGGATAAAATATTCAGGTACCCACTATTTCTCAATACACTCACAAAAGCACATTAAAAGTCTTCTAATATGGATAGTATCAGAGAATTCTATACTGGAAAGCTCCAATTTTGGAATAGGCTTTACAGTTGTTGAAAATAAAATGCACCCTAAACCTCTGTAACAGAAAAAGGTAACACACAGATCACCTTCCCAGTGATACTTAGATCACACATTTTCCGGGTCTTATAGTTAAAGAAGCACTCAAACAGTCTTTCAAACTTCCAGTCGTATTAGGGAAAATTGGGCCAGCCAGGTCCTCCAAATGTGCTAGTCAGAAATGGGATTAGTATTTTGAATAGGCAGATTTCAACCCTCAAAAGAAACAGAGCCCCTCAAAAAAGTTCAAAGACAACAAAGGTTGAAGATAAATTAACTAATATTCAGCTTTAAACACTACCTGAAACTTAATTCACCATTTATTTCACTCAGATTTTCACCTTGCAGCTTGCTTTGCAGGTGAAAAATCTTTAACAAATGCAAAACCTTCCTACACATACACTTGCTTTTCTCCCTGCTACCCATCAGCAGGGATTTCTGAACCACTGGTGTTCAATAGATAAGTCTGAGAAGCACCACTTTAAGAAAAATACATTTCTTTAAAATATATCATACCCCAAGCTGAATGCAGCAACATTGTCACATTTTAGCAATATATATAAATTCTTGTAACCCAGACAGCTCTTAAGAAGAGGCATAGTGACTAAGCAGGTATTGGAGGCTGTATCTTGAAAGAACAAATAATTTGAACTTGACGTTCTGGAAGTGACTAGTTTCGGCCTAACTCCAACCCTGATATAATCAGTGGAATTTTTCTGAGAACTTTAAAAATCCCACCCTTGAGTCTTACCCAAGACATCTTAATACAGGTTTTGAAGCACCAGATTACTTGAAACCTTCATACACTTTACCTGACTATAACTTTATTTTGCTTGTCTGACCCTTTGTTTCACATTTCAGAGATTTATTAATTTAGACTCCAATTCAGTTTTACAGAATACAAAATCAGTAAATTTATTTCTATTTCTCCCACTCTCTCTCCACGCTTTCATACAAAAACCTGCCATTTTAAGAATTTAGACTCAAGCTCTCTTCCCTGCTATTTGGGATTCAAATTCTAGAGCGCTCAGAACAGCAGATATGAAACTGTCTAGTTTATTTTTATTGATTTAAAAACAAACAAACAAACAAACAAAAAAGGCAACTCATAGCATTTACAGTGAAAAATAAGCTAGGCTTTTAAAATCGCCATTTTATGAATCGAGAGTGCTGTAAGTAAAACAGGCAAGGAAAGGTGCTGTTAAAGAAGGAAGAGGAAAGGATCATTTCAGAGTTCCTTTTTACTAATTTATTCTTTGTTAATTTCCTTTCATACCTCTGAGATACCCCTACGCGTTGCAGTGAAAGATACATTTTCTTCCATTAGCTGCACTGTTTTAAAACAGATAGAAATTTCTATAATTCAGACTCTTGTCCTCAGTCTTGAGGAAATATAGACTGGTCTAGCTCCATCAAAGTCAATGAACCTATGTTGATTTACACAGGCAGAGGACCTTTACACGATGGAGCTGCAAATTAATTCTGATAAATAATAAGACATGGTGTTTATAAGCCAGTGGTTAAGAAAGCTAAGCTTTGCAATTATTATCACTATTTAACTCCCACTTTGCAAGAAATATCTATCTGTGTGTAATAGATTAAGAGTGCATAGCCAGCTTTCTAAAATTTACTTCACTGTGCTAACCATTTTTGCCCACAGGTTCAAGACCAAGCTGTGTGCTCATTCATTGCCTAATGAAACATCAACACACGCGTCATTTCTGACCAACCTCTTCATACTCAGAACCACTCCATAATTCAATAATTTAATATCCTACATCAATAATCTTAATAGAGTGCTAACAGTTGTTAAATTATTCATTTACTCACACACAGCAGACAACAAAGTTCCTCATCTCTCAAGAGGTATTTCATGACAAAGAACCTACAGTGGCAAGTCCAGGGACTTCAGTAGAGCTACCCTGGGCTCATCCCAGCCAAAACTATGGTCCAGGATGTGTAATGTTAGGTCTTACCTCTTGAGAATGCCTGAAGTAATCACAGAACGGTATAGTGTGCCTACTGATGTCTTGATTTTTCATTTTCTGGTGCATGTAACTGAGACGTTCCAAACCTAGTCAAAAGAGCAGGTGTCAGCTATTTCCAGACTGTAAATGAACAGCTCTACTGCTACAAACTAAACATGTATGCAGTGCTATAAAATAAATGCCTATATACCATATTGCTCCAGCAAACGTGTAATGGCCTATAAAAGCAATAACAGAATTTCTTAGGGTTAAAATGGACTGTTTCTACTCTCTGTCAGCATATTTCAGAGGAGAGCAGCCCTTCTCAGACAATGCTGTGCTGAGTCACAGCATTCCCTGGTTCTTCTCCCAGCAGCTTGCAGGATGATGCCAGTGAGCTGCATTACAGAAAAGCTGAAAGATAAGACAAACTATGCAAAGGATTTCTGAGAATGAAAGAGCTGGGGAATGGCTAAAAGAAGAGTAAGAATGCCATTCCCTTTTCATTCCAACAGAGACAATACAGAATTCATTTATTCCCTTTGGAGGATGTGTTTCTGAGCAATAAGTAATGAATAATGCATGCAGAGGATCTGCCAGAAGATATAGAATCGCAGCACTGCCTGTGAGTATAAACGCCCTGAGAAATTCACAAGAGAGATTATTTTGCAATTAGCCAGAATGCCTCTTTAGACGACACCTTAGGAGAAGAGACAAGGATATGGTCCTCCTTGCTTCCCACTTATTCCTAAGGATTAGTGCTCTACTACCTCCCAGGCGAGACAGGCAGCACTCCTGGAAAGTTTTATGCGACCTTCCACCCAGTCTATGCCCCTTTTGCCTCAGCAATGACCCAGCAAATAACTGCGTTGTATGGGCCTGCAACCTAAGTTTAATTCTGAAAAATTATGCCGTGAGGTGAAGGTGGTGGATGACACTTTGAATTTGTGATTTTTTATTTACTACTTCTTTTTAAAAGCTGTTCTGAATTTCACCATCTGCAAAATATCACGTACTTAGCTGACTGAAATTAGACACAGTGAGCCAGTTCTTGCTGTGTTTCTCTTGCTCATCCCAGACATTGATCTCTGCAGGCTCTGAGCTCACTTGGGTGTTCTGGGGACAATCATCCACTCTAATCACCTGGCAAGACACAGACAGACAAAACAACACTTGATTTATAGGATGGCTAGCACCTCTGCAGTTCCTCTGACAGCCTATGACATGGCCTTTCAGAGCATCACTGAAATGCCAATGACTGAACTTGCTCCCGACCGAGAAACAGATTTTCCCATTTTTGCTACAAGTTGCAGAAAATACATTGCTTTTGTCTAGTAAAATACTGATGAAAGATCTAGCACTACAGCTTTTTAAAACAAAGTTTGAAGTCCCTCATAATATCTTCAGAGGTATTATGTCTCAAAGTTCAAGTCCAAGATCCGTTCCTGACCCGAGCATCTTAACAAATCATCTTCAGTTTTCACCTCATTAAATAGAGGTAACTCTTTCCAGCTGACAAACATCCTAGGAATCTCTTTATAAATTCATAAATAGATTTTTATATATATATACACACACATACAGTTATGAAAGCTGCCCCATACATATGACACAATCAATAAGCTGACTGGAATGTGATAAATGTTTGATGGATTCAGAGAAAAGACTGCAGGACTCTTATAGGCAGGAGACAACATTATGAGGCCTGACTTGCTTGTTTACAGTTGCATACTGCCTGGATATGGCTCACCAATCCTTAAGTCTGTCGTAGGTTGTATGAAGCCTGCCCAAGTCCTCCTGCCAGCTAAAGTGCAAGGACTGATTCCTTTCTGGGTAAAACAAATAACACCCCTGACATCCTATCCAGCAAAGTCCATAGACTTCAACACGTTCAAACCTGAGATCCCACACATTCAAACAGAAAGGAAATTAAACCAAAGCCAGACACACAAAAAAACCGCCCCAATTTGTGTGCAGCATTTTAATTGTATGTATTTTCAACTAAGCCATACTGCAGAACGGCTTTTAATGAATGAAAAAGACAGCTATGGGATATGTGATTCTCTTGCATCTGTACATACCGGCACCTGAAGGGGTTTTCGATTCTTCTTTTCTCTCCCAGACTTTCTGTCTCTGTTTTGTTGTTTTTCTTTTGTTGCCTCACTGTGGTGTAGCT